ACTTTAAACGTTTGAAACCGTCCAAAGGGTGGAAAACCTGGGCAAAGTGGCAGTATTCAGTTTAAATGCAAATCGTTGAACGTGTTTCTCATTTATAAAGATTATTGTACCATGATTTGTTTGGCACACAGTCTGGCCTCAGACGGGTGATATATATATATATATATATATATATATATATATATACCACCAAACATTTTACAAGTCGTTGTACGTCTTCATTTTTTTCTTGATATAAATGTGTGTGCGTGTCTGTGTTGTTATTGCGGTCAAGCTGTTAATCGATCCACAGAATGATTTGAAAGTTCAATCATTGAAACTCCGGTTTCCGTGCCGAAGCAATTTTATTGCAACAGACGTTTATCACTTTGGTAGATACGACTCAAATTTATAGTGCATCAATTATCGCTAGTCTACACGAACTCAACCAACGGTGATAAAATTCTATTGGGGAAAAACTTGCAACAAGAGCATCGTGCAACCGATTGACACGACTCAATCTGGTTCCGAGGATGCGACCTCCTCCGATCGGAAGTTGAAGATGATGATGATCAGACTGTGGTTTGATGTGATGAGTTACCGGATAGCACGATTAGGAACGATGCATACACCACAAAGAAAAAATGGTCAGATGCCGTTGAGGAGAAGGATTTTGTGGGAAGGCGAATGAGACGGAGAAAACTGAAAGGTTTGTTGTGCAGAAATTACTATTGAATAGTGCCACAAATAGGAAACATTTCTGAGCCAATCCCAACCCACCTGGAAAAACAAGTTGCCACGCAGATATACATAGGTCATAATAAGTAATATTTTTTTATTACACACCTAGGTGTGATGAACAGCAGACGGGGCAAACCCCATAATCACGAGGACCTGCTGTTCAGTGGTTGAAATCGGCAACCTAAGCCCCGGAACTTGAATTGGCGAACCACATAAGGCCCCGATAGGTTAGGCGTGGTATTGAACCGGACGACAGCAGAGCTGCCTACCACCAAAGTCGGGTGGCGGTGGCGAGGCTCGAACCTCGGACTATAGGGTCCAAAGCACGCCGGTGACAGCGACTAAACCACTGCGCCACCACCACCCATGAATGACTGGAAAAAATCTCCCTGTGAGCATACGACCGGTTTCGTGGTTCTTGCCGTTCGTCAGGCATGCGTATCCGGCAGCAAATGAGGTTGTTCTGAGATAGATACACTCCCTGGGTACAAATATATGAACGACTTGACAAAAGATTACGGGATACGCATACCTGACGAGCGGCGGGAACCGCGAAGCCGGATGTGTGCATCAAGGGAAATTTTGTCCAGTCATTCATGTACTATTTATTACCTATTATATATATATATCCTATCGGAGCCTTGTGTGGTTCTCCAGTCCAAGTCCCGTGGGGTTTGGGTTGCCGGTTACCATCACTGAACAGCAGGTCTTCATGACCACGGAGTTAACCCTGTTCTGCTGTTCATCACACCAAAATGTGTGTAATGATTTTATATTTAAATAAATAAATAAGACTACATTTGAATGCACGTCACAAAACAATGAATCAGAATGAAGGGGANNNGGGAAACAAGGTAGGCGAATCAGAAAGAAAACAAATGATGAAGCAACCAATCGGGAGTAACGGAACATACCTCATAGATAGCTAATTCCATGGCGGAATAGGGCACGTAGCTAAGCATGCTAATTTGGTAGCCCCGGTAAAAACCAATCAGTCCACCTTGTCGATACACACGTCGGACNAGCCACAATGGATTTGGGGTCGGTGGATTTTCGCAAAGCCATGCGAGTTTTTAAAATCTGATCAAAACAATGAGAGATGAAAAGCAACGTAATCGTGTTATCCAGATTAACTATGTATAGAAATGAAAGCCGTATGCTCAATGTAAGAAAGATATCGAAAATCCCTTGATAGCGGCTATACCAATGACCAATTTGATAGAAATGACCTTAGCTACGGAAGAGCACGTGATTTGTCGTGCGGTCGTTCACGCGATGTAGCTCATCCACCATTGCTCTCGTCACGTGCCTGCGCATTCGTTTTTCATTTATCCATCCAGGTCACGTGATAAAGTGCAAGCAAAAACGACAAGCTACCGCCTCGAGGGGAATAGACAATCATGTCAAGGTCAAACAACAAACCCACATAGTCGCGTTTACGACGGGTGCATCGAGGACAACAGGTATGCAGAGTTTAAACCCCTAGCGTTATATCCCAGAGACTAACGTTCAAAACTCAAGTTTTGTCGTTCCATTGACGCGCT